AGGAAAAGTAGTATTAAAACTTTTTGGCTGGGTGCAGTGGCTCATGCCTGTAATTCCAGCAGTTTGGGAGGCTGAGTCAGGAAGAAAAAAATTAGCTAGGTGTGCTGGCACATGCCTGTAGTCCCAGCTACTTGAGAAGCTGAGCCAGGAGGAACACCTGAGCCCAAGAAGCAGAGGATATAGTGAGCTGAGACTGCATCACCTCACTCCAGCCTGGGTGGCAGAGCAAAACCCTGTCTCCAAAACAAAACAAAATTTTGAGGGAGGAATAAAAGTATCCTTTTTAAATCTGGATAATTAGAGTAAGCTGATAAAACATGAGGGTATCCAGAAGAGGACTCAAGGAGAACGGTCACACACATGAAGAGCAGCAGGGAGGGCCAAGGAAGAAGTGCTCAGACTCTCAGTATGAACTTGGCTGCATGAGCCCAGCATTCTCCCCTTTTCCTCCTGAAACCATCCAAAAAAAACAAGAAGAAAAATCAAAAACTTCATTTTCGGCAAAACTGGGAGACAAACTCCAAAAGAGTTAGTTGCAAGGACTTCCAAAGGAGATCCAGTTCACACAGGAGTCGAGGAGAAAGCAGAGTAGCAAAGGAGGGCACTAATAGCAGCAGCAGATTTCAGAGAGCACCAAGGGAGGTACATAAAGATGAAGGACCTATGAAGGGCAAAAGCACCATCCCTCACCGCAAAGAGGATGTAGAGACAGCAGTATGCAGATGGCAGGAGAAATCCCCAACCCCAGTGGGCCTGGTTTTGTGGCATCTGCACTGTGTTTGCCCACAGCCTTGACTTTTTGGACCACGTTTTGCCAGTCTGCTGATAGAAAGTTATCTCCTTTCTGTTTCAGTATCTTATGAGTAAGGCTGACCATCTTTAATTACTTTGTTTATCAAATAATCTCTGTTCTTCAAACAGTTCCGACTAAACCCTTAATGACAATAAAGTGCTACAAACCACTTATGGCTCAAATACATTCAGCCCTCTGTCTCCACAGGTTCCACATTCTCATGGACTCAACCAACTTTGGGTCGAAAAATATTTGAAAAAATTGCATCTGTACAGACTTTTTTTGGTCATTATTCACTAAACAATACAGTATAACAGGTATTTGCATGGCATTTACATTGTATTCACTATTAAGTAATCCAGAGATGATTTAAAGTACAGTCATATGTTGCTTAACAACAGGGATATGTTCCTAGAAATGCGTCGTTAGGTGATTTTTTCATTGTATGAACATCATATAGTGTGCACACACAAACCTAGATGGTACAGCCTGCTACATACCTAGGCCGTATGGTGTAGCCTATTGCTCCTAGGCTACAAACCCGCAAAGCATGGTACTACACTGAATACGCTAAATAACTGCAACACAATGCTAAGTAGTGTGTATCTAAACACAAAAAAAGTACAGTAAAAACATGCTATAAAATATTACAAATGCTATATCTCACCATTAACGGAACTCAAGAGGCTGGAGGTTGCTCTGGGTGAGTCAGTGAGTAAATATGAAGGCCCTGGACATACACTACTGTAGCCTTCATAAATACTGTGCATTCAGGCCATACTAAATTTATTTAAAAATGTGTTTCTTTCTTCAATATTAATCTTAACATAGCCTTTTCTGACTTCATTAACATTTTGATTTTATTCATTTGTATTAATACACAAACAATTCATATAAATGTACAAAATATTTACTTTCTTTATTTCTATCCTATAAACTTCTTCCCAAATAAAAAAAATTTTTTTTAGCTTTAAAAATTTTTTTGTTAAAAAGTAAGACACAAACATACACATCAGTCTAGGCCTACACAAGGTCAGGATCCTCAATATCATTATCTTCTACTTCTACATCTTGTCCCACTGGAGGGTCTTCCAGGGCAATAACACACATGGAGCTGTTAGCTGTCATCTCCCATGATCACAATGTCTTCTTCCGGAATCCTCCTGAAAGACCTGCCTAAGGTTCTTTCACAGTTAACTTGGTTTTTTAACATGTAGGAGGAGTATGCTCTAAAATAATGATTAGAAAGTATAATACGGTAAATATATAAACCCAGTAACAAAGTCATTTACTGTCATTATCAAGTATTACATACTGTATATGTATGTGCTATACTTTTATACAACCAGCAGTGCAATACGTGAGTTTATACCAGCATCACCACAATCACAAGTAATGGGTTGTACTACCACGTTACAATGGCTATGATGTCACTAGGCAATAGGAATTTTTCAGCTCCATTAGAATCTTATGGGACCACCATCATACATATAGTCTGTTGTTGACCAAAATATTGTTATGCAGCTTATGACTACACATGGAAGGAAGTGCATAGGTTATGTGCAAATACTAGGCCGCTTTATCTCAGAGACTCGGGCATCTGCAGTTCTGGTATCCATGGTTAGTCCTGGAACCAATTCCCCAAAGAAGGGATCACAATATTCCCAAAATAGCTTCCTGGGACCTGGAGTGTAAATTAAGCTTAACTACCCAGGCTAATAATAAGCAGCTAGCTGACCAAAAATCCAAATCAGTGGATTCCACTCATGTGACTTTTCCCATTTCAATATTTTTTTAATCTTTCCTAATTAAGAAAAGAAGCTCAAAGAAATGGCCCTGAGTTTCAACTTAAACAGAAAATCTGAAATTAATGGGCTAATGAAAACATGTTAAAGCAAAATTCTTGTTTTCCCAGACATTCACTAGCATCTACTTAGCTAATAAAACAAAATTCAGCTCTTCCCTGTGAGCCATCGCTCACCCTCACCTTGCAATCCTTACCACCTACCACATGCAGAGGCTAGATAATAGACACTCCACTAATGACAGCCTGAAAGACGTTTTCAAGACATGTGTTACAAATGAGCGCTAATTTGATCTGATCCTTGATACTTTAAGTTATAAACCACCAAAGTGATCTAAGCCACATGCTTAAGGAAAGTACAGGCTGGGATCAGAAAAGCCAGTGGAAAACACCATTTCAAGAAATAACTAGAAACAGCTAAAGTCTCAAAACTCAAGCATTCTAATAAAATAAGTACAGTCAATATGCAACTTGAACAGACCTCTGAACTCATTCAAGATTTATTAGGTTCAAAGAACAGTGCAAAGAGTCTTAACAAAAATACTACAGGGAGTTTGCAAATTAACTACAAAAAGCATTATATAAGCAGCAAAGTTGTCCCTACTACAGGGGAATGTATGTCATGTTTTCTTTTAAAAATCCTAGCTGAGTATTTGCAGGCTCCTTAGTTCAGCAGGCACTGATTTTTCTGAACAAGGGGCAAATTATAAAGAGTGTTCAGAATTCAGACTACAAATACACAAAATGTAAGAAAGTTTCCATGTCAAGATGCACTGTTAAATAAGTTGGGTAATATTTAATGGCAAGTGTTGCTATTTAATAAATTAAATTCCATGGGATAATATCAATACAGGGCTTTATTGTTGTTGGGCCATTTTTCTGGAGGAAAAAAAGGTAAAACAATAAGGTATGTGGATGAAATAAAAACAGAAATGATAATGAATAAGAACTTTGGGCCTGTGCACTATGCAGCAGGAGCCAGTCAAGAAAAGAAAATTCTGATCCCCAGGCGAAATAGCCACGTTTCGGTCAATGAAGAACTGCATATACAATGGTGGTCCCATAAAATTACAATATAATATTTTTACCATACTTTTTCTATGTTTACATATACAAATACTCACCATTATGTTACAACTGCCTACAGTATTAGGCACAGTAACATGCTGTACAGGTTTGTAGCCTAGGAGCAAGAGGCCACACCACAGAGCCTAGGTGCGTAGTAGGCTGTACTATCTAGGTCTGTGTAGGTACACTCTATGATGTTCCCACTATGACGGATCACCTAATGATGCATTTCTCAGAATGTATCCCCGTCATTAAGCGACCCATGACTGTATAGGGAAATAATATATTTCTGTGCATTAAAAACGTGAAAGCTGTAAGGTAACCACATTACCAATGTTAGCAATATTAATGAGTTAAATGAGCAGATGGTGCAAAATGTACTTCTCCACCACAGGACACTACCACTTCCAGGTTCAAATTGTTTTCTGCATCCCTAACTCTTTTTTTCTTTTTTTGCTTAAACCAGTAGGAATTCATTTTCTCTCAGTTCTCGATATTGGAACTCTGAAATCACGGTGTGAGTTAGCAGGGCCATGCTCTCTCTGAAGGCTCTAGGGAAGGGTCCTTCTTTGCCTCTTCCTAGCTTTGGTGGTTGCAGGCAACACTTGGCCTTCCTTTACTTGCAGACCACAATTCCCATCTTGCTTCCCTTGCCACAGGACACTCTTCCTGTGTTTCTATCTCTATGTCCACATCTTATCTTTTTTTTTTTTTTCTTGACTTTAAGTTCTGGGATACATTGCAGAACGCGCAGGTTTGTTACATAGGTAAACGTGTGCCATGGTGGTTTGCTGCACCTGTCAACCCATCACCTAGGTATTAAGCCCCGCACGCATTAGCTATCTGTCCTGCATCCCCTACTCTTAAGTATGCCTTAAGTTAAGGCGTTTAGAGACAAAAAAAAATTTTCATATGAAAAAGTCTTTTTCAGAAAAACACGCACATACAAACTGGGAACCAGAGGCCAAGAGTGGAAAAGCAATCAGGTCAAGCCTGAGCAAGCCAACTTAAACCATGATGCAAAGACCACAAAACTGGTCTGATGCCATCTTTGGGACACTTGCTCTGCATCTAACACAGTATGTTGATGAGTAACTGTGGGGTAGATCCCCAAAGTTTTTACAAGGAAGGAAAACATTTCTAAGGCCTCAAGGAATGCGAAGGCCTCCCAGTCCAAAGCATAAGCTTTCTTTCATAAGTTATGTAAACAGCTGTGCCAGGGGAATCATGTGTTACCCCAGGAAGCTACAGAGGATATTCCTTTGAGTGGCTCACTACCAGCGTAAATGCGGAAAGAGGAAAGACCAACCAACTTGGACATTTTCCTTTTGCTACCTCTTCTAGCCGTCGTCTCTGTTCTTTCTGCTGCTCAATCCGCTTCTGTCTCTCCGCCAGCAGTTGCCTTTTATATTCTTCCTGCTCCCGGAGCTGTTGCTCCTGTAGTAACTGTTGTCTCCGAAGAGCCTCAGAACGTTCCTTGTTCTCCTGCTGCAGTCTCAGAAAATCTCGACGAAGAGTAGACTCACCAGGCACGTTCACAATGGAACTGCAGAAGAAAGTAGGGCTTTCAGGGGTGTGCACAAATCACACTATCCTCTAAGGGAGACAGCAGCACCAGCATCCCATTCCACTTCTACATTCATACTTGAGTTCCTCTGACTCCAGAGAGGCAACTAATACATACACAGAAATGACTACATCTACAAATCAATTGTTCCATATCTTCTTTTTTTCATTAAAATGCTGTCCTAGACGTCTGCTTCAAAAGACATTTCTACTTAAGATTCTCACAACAATTCAAACTCAGTAAAAGAACAGTTGAAATCACCTTCTTTCATTTCACTAGTCCTCCTTTTACCACCTGATTTCTCTTCAGCAAACAGAACCATCAGACCACTCTTCAGGATTTACACCATTCTTGTGTCTTTGTCTGGCCAACCACCAAGTCCTATCATTAATTCCTTCCCACTTTCTTAATTCCAGGTCAGCAGCTGAGCCCAAGCAGGTCCTATGAATTAGCCACTGTACAGATCAATGAAACACACCCTTCCTAGCTATCTCCCCACTGAGTTACTTCTCCACTGCCACAGCATCCAGAGCAGCATGGCAAACATAGCTCCTCAAATTGCCTCTTTCATCATACAATGCTCCTCCTAGTCAAAAATAATTACATTGCTCATGTAATCAGTTCAAATTCCTCTGAAATTCTTAGTCTAAAATGGATTAAAATCCTCTCCTACATAAGAAAAAAAAAAAACAGATTATGGAGTAGCTTCAATAAATTCTCTTCTCTCTCTTCCAAGTCCCATTCTCTGGCACATGGCTCCCCACAGTCTCTTGAGACGCCCTTCTACCCTCCCTTTGTTCAATTCATCAGCCACATACTGCAGCATGGACAACTGCCAGGCACACTCATCATTAAAATCCAAACATCCTCTATTCTCTGATACATCAGTTATTATGAAGTTCATGCAACCAATCTGACTCCTTAACCTGCTTTACTGAATCTTTGGAAGTCAGAAATAAATTAAAACACAGACCATAAAATAAATCGGGACACACACAGTCCTGCCGGTCCATGAGCAGGACAATTCTTTGTGTGTAGGCATGTTCTGTATACCACAAGAAATGGTGTTCAATGGCACCTTCACCATCTGTGACTTCTGGAACAATAAATGCTGGGGTACTCTCCCTTGCCCAGGCCCACACATTTCTCAGTGACTGGGGGAGGGAACAAAATACAACCCTTGGTAAAGAACCACTGGGTAAGAAAATCCAGGGGAGAAAAATGTTAACAGGAATCTGCCAAGGATAGAGAAGAACAGAAGACAGCGCTGTCTAAGTAATTTAAGATTTCTTGTACCACACAGGAGTCTTTTGAAATCCTGGTACAACATAAAGCTAAATTCCTTCATAAAGCAGAATACTACACAGTGGCTTTGTGGTTACCTTGGCTCTCCTTCCTGTTCAGGCACTTCCTCCTCTTCTTCCTCACTCCCACTGTACTCATATTCAGTTTCATCTATGAAGAAAAGGAAAAGGTAAATGGGACAGTTCACAAGTCCTGACACATGCCTGTTCAGACAAGCATCTCCAGGAGCATCACGGCAGAAAATAAACAAGCTCCCTGTGAAAACAGCATCTTGTATGGAGAACTTGGGGAGGAGGGGCAAGACACCACATTCTCATAGTGACAGCATCTATTCCTTGGCCAGCCTTACTCCCCACAGAAAAGTTGATTCCATGGCATTCAAGCCAACCTCGTATGGCGATGCACTGCTGAGGAGGTACAAGGACCACAAGAGGGGGTCCAGAGCCCCTGACAAACAAAAAAGACCTGAGGGCACTAGCAAATTCACCAAAATACACTTTGATGCCAAAATTCAAAGAGATGTAACTGCTGAAACTAAGGCAACCAAGAGACTTTATTTGGTGATTTTTTGCAATTAGGGATCCACAGACAGTACAGCAGAGAAAAAAGCCTGTGGGATGGACACAAAGTGAAACATTAACTAGGTACAGGAAAAACAAGCTAAATGTACCCACAAACAAACCAGGCAAACCAGGGGAAAACTAATTAAACCATACAGCAAAAGAAAGACTAAAATTTGCTGTACTTAGGCCAGACTTCAAACAAACAAGCTGAAACTCATTTTCAGTTCTACAGGTTTTATACAGTTTTCCCAAAAGACCATTTTATTGGTCCTTTAACTTAATGTCAATATCCAACTTTCAGTGAGCAATTTCACTCTAGAAATCAATCAAAAAACCAGACAGGTTGAAGAGTTTTAAAAACTAAGTCCAGACACAAACACTTCTATTTTTTCAAAGACATATTATAAGATGAAAATCAGGCCAGGCACAGTGGCTCACGCCTGTAATCTCAGCACTTTGGGAGGCCAAGGCAGGAGGATCATGAGGTCAGGAGTTTAAGACCAGCCTGAGCAATATGGTGAAACCCTGTCTCTACCAAAAATACAAAAATTAGCTGGGCGTGGTGATGCACTGAGAAGCCTGTAATCCCAACTACTCAGAAAGCTGAGGCAGGAGAATCACTTGAAACCTGGAGGAGGAGTTTGAGTGAGCTGAGATGGCGCTACTATACTCCAGCATGGGTGACAGAGCAAGACTCTGTCTCAAAAATAAAAAAAAATAAAAAAAGAGAGAGAGAGAGAGAGATGAAAATCAGTTTCCTTCACACAAAATATAGTTCTATGTGAATCTGTCAGTCTACATACAGAATATAAGTTCTTCTGCATACCAGACCATCAAAGCTATATAATTTTAATATACTATGCTATCTTCTAAGGGAAATTCCAGCTTAAATAATTTTCAGAGTCCTTAAAATAGGTACTCTGCTATGTTTATAATTTTAGACTACAAATTACTAATTATTGACAAGAGGCTGATGGTCATCTGGAAGATAAACCGAAAGACAAAGACAGGAAAAAAATCTGTAAAGAGGTCACTGTGACTTGAAGACTGAAATGAAGGGAAGGTGCTCTGCTGTTTGCATCTGCAAAATGTGGGTGATGAGGAAAATGTGAGATGATCTAAGTTGTCTGGCAAATGTTTCATGAATGTTAGCTATTATTACTAAGTAAAGTCATGGGAAAACGATCCAATATGCAAGTATTTTTTTCCTAAACAGGGCCTCCATGTCAATTGAGAGTTAAGGAAAAAAGTCTTGTTTTCAAGCTTTAGTTCACTTTGTTACAAGTGCATAGCTTAATGTACAAAGCTTAATTACTTTTATAACTAAGCATATCAGAAGGAAAAAGGTTATTCTGAACATCAATGATGACTTAATGATGACTACCAGTACAGGCAGAAAGGCCTCCAGACTTTGACCAATTCTTTTACTGCCTTGAATATGCTCTTTTTAGTTTCTTCTCTGACCTGGATATTTTAATAGCAAAAAATAATAGGATACCACTTATCCAAGCGTTTTCTATAACGTATTATAAGGATCCACAAAAGAGAAAGATCAATGTGAGCTAGCAGCCTCAGAGAAGGTGTTTTAGTAAAGATGGTGATGATGCTTGAACTGCACCTTGCCGGACAGAAGGAGAACAGAGAGCATTCCAGGAAGGTGGGCGAAATATGTGCAAAGACATAAAACAAAGATAGCGGGAACAGAAAAACATCTTTACTATTTAGCACAAGAGCATGCTTGTGTTGTGCATGCTACTAAAAGCAAAGTAGTCTGGCTACGCATGTGGCCCATACCACCACACCACTGGTAACAGAGTAGAGCAGTAAAAAAGCCTGGGCAGGGGTTCTTGAGAAGGAGAATTATACAGAAACACACTGATGGTGATGCTCACAGCAGATGTTAAATAAACCCCAGTGAAATACGCCATAAACACAACGATAATCAAGTAAAATGAGGAGCAACAATGACATGACCCTCAGGAACGGGAAAAGCATCCCACTGCAATACCTATGTATTTGCTACAAGCTTGGTGACACACCCCAAAGCTCCAGCCAACTCCACCTGGAGCCAGACTGGAACCCAGGCCTAAGCACTGAACTCTAAGCAGAGAGAAACCAGGCAAGTGCTGGCCAATGAGCACTCTCACAGCTTGGAAGGGAGTGGCCTACTCTAGTTTACAAGAACCTAAAAATAAAAATTTTAAAGGATGAAAACAAAAACAGGCTTAGTACCTTTCTCGCCTCTCTTCTTCCTGGTACGATCTATATGATCCTTAAGCTGGATTCTAACTTGCCTTTCGTTTGGCTGATCCCTTATAAAAGGATGTTTCAAAAGCTGCTCAGTAGAGGGCCGCTGCATGTAATTCTTCACCAGGCACCCTTCTATAAAACTAAAAAATTTCTTCGACCTGTAAGAAGTGAAAAAAAACATCAAATTTCCACCACAAAGAGTAAAGATCCAAAACATCAGTAACTTACAAGCCTCAAAATAAAGAAGAGCTTCAGAATTCACTGTGAACATTCTGTGAATACATAAGAATAATGTATGACATGAAATAAACAGGAACTTAGGACTGTTGAGGATCAGGAGCATTAAATTAACACAGTTTAAGTGGTGCATCATATCACTAACAACATACCACAAATAGGTATTTATATGAACTGGGTTTAAATCTAATATCGCACATTAATCACTTAATTACAGGAGTGGAGGACGCAAGGGGGTAGAGGGAGGTCTTTGCTAAAATGAAGGCAGATGGGACAGATGTCTGGTACCCAGAAGACAAGGACAGACAATGAGATAAGAAAAGGAGCAGAGCCCATGTCCAAATGCTGGGGCTCTTGAACCTGTTAATTTGACATTTCAATCCAAGTTCCAAACTGGTTGATTCGTTGGTTCCCTCTGTTTGATGTACAAAGATGGAAATTATAGTTGTTGCTTTTTTTTAAGGGGTGAGGGAGTGAGATGAATCTGTCACCCACACTTGCCATACTAGCAACTTTTACTTCTGCCTGTTTCTCCATGCTCAGCTCATGAGGACCATGGCCCTAGCCTTGGTCAAGACACTCTTACCTATTCTATATTTTGAGACTCATCTCAAGAATCACCACTTCTGGTAAATCTTCCTGCCAACACTCTGCCCTATGTGCCCCAAGTTAGGAGACTTTCTTCTGCTGTTATCTGCTTTTAACAGACTGCACACTTTATGTTTCTTTCCTGCTGCAAAGTTGAAATGGTACAGGTCAAAAACTGTTTCCTACATCTCAACCTGTAGGCAATGCTCAACACTAGGCATGCACACCACAATAGGTATGAAATAAATTTTTGTTGAATGAATGAGGTATTCAGTCTTTAAAAATGTGAGTTAGAAAATTAGTTCACTCTTTTCACTTACTTCACTGCTTTTTAAGAATCACTTCTATTGTATTTCCATTAAAACTTAATTTTTTTCGATTCAACAAATATTTATCAACTATTTGCATTTGTTTATATTAGGCTCTATTAACACATACACATAGGAAATAAAGTGGAGGAAATTTAGGTATACACAACAGCAGACGTATGTCAAACTTACAGAGGAGGGAAAAAAAACCCTTACAGTGGATCAGACAAGAAGAAAAAGTAGGAAATTTGACATTCATAAGGTAGGAGAGAGAAGACAACATTCCAGAGTGAAGGAACGATATGAACAAAAGTAGGGAAGTGTTAAAGAATAATGAGTTATATTCTGATCCTACTATGAAAAGCAAAAAAGAATGTAAAAATACGTCAGGGCGAGCTCAGACAAAAGCGCTTAAAGTCATTCAAAGTAGCTGTTACTTTATTCTGTTTAATGAGGAACATAACGATTCTTTACAGTATAGTGAAATACTTTAACACAGAGATTTCTAAGACCCAATATCCACAAAGATCATTTTGGGGAATTTATCAAAGATAAAAATACCTGAGTCACTCCCCAGGCCAGAAACTTGGAATCATCAATTAAAAGATTCCAAAAGGATTCCTATGCATTGTATCCATAGATGAACATTTGGGAATCAATGATCTACAATATATTTTCTAAAATCAGCAATCAAGTTCTACTGGCAAAAGGACATTGATCATCTTCTGAAAGCCATTTCTCAAAACAGGGGGAAAAAAAGTAGAATTTACATTAGGTGGATGACGGACGGCAATCACAAAGAAAGAGGGGTCTATAATTATCTCATCCTTTCAGAATACTCAGGTAACATGAGAACAGGGATACAAATGGATGAAATGTGTCATCCAATCCAGTTTTAAAAACAAGAACACAGGAAGCATCTATTGCTGTCTACCACTGTCTCTTTGTATCACTGTATGTTGGACACACAGTGGTTAATACAAAACTGTAGCTAATGAACAGAATAATCAGAGTATGAGGTACCCTGAAGATACCATTAACTTAGCAATCCTTCCAGTATAGAATTCTGTCAACAAAATCTGACAGCGATAAATAAAGGAAAAAATGAGTACTACTTAGTTTAGCATGAACTAGGTAAAGAGTTACTCCAGCTCCATAGCTGATTCCTTGGTAATATCTGCTACACACATTGGGGTTCCCTACAGGTGGCCGGCCACCCATGGATGTCCAGAGTTATTACGTCTTAATACGGAAGACTGATTGGGGCTAAAATCTCTAGAACTGTGTGGCAACTGGGGCTAAAATCCTTACAACTGTGTGACAATAAAACCATTCTAAAAACAGGTAAATGGAATTAGACAGCCACATGGGGCCATATGGAGTCAAATGTGATGAAAGACCGTGTATAAAAAATTTAGAAAAATCCTGCCAGCAGAAGATAGAGGGGAAAGAATGGTGAAATGTGTTGAGGGCAAGGACAGTGAGGTAAAGGGAGAAGTATGAAGAAACCTGGTGTGAAGATGGGTGTCAGTGTGCAACAATACAGGGGAAAAGAGAACTGCAAATCACCAAAAGGTGAGCAACCAAGAAGAAAACAGCAAACCAGAACAGCTAAGAGGCCAAATTCAGAATGGAAGCTTAACTGAGATGTTTTACATATTTCAGACTAAGAGTTAAGAACCTAAGAGAAGGCAGCATCAACTGGAAAACTAGTAAGAACTGTTTCAAAAAGGAAAAAAAAAAAAAAAAAGCCATATTATTAGGTGGTAATCAGTAAGAAAGATGAGCCCAGAAAAACAGAAAGAGGAACACAAAAAGGAGGGAAGGCCATGCATGAAGAGCTAGAGTACAGACCAGAACTAATGGGAAAGGACCTAGAAAGAAGTTCAGGAAGGAAAGAGGGGGTAAAATTCTCGGCAGAACCGAAAACACTGTCTCCCTTCAAGATTTTACAAGTAATTCAACATGCTCTCACAATGCTGCAATCCTAACAGCCTTTCTCAGGGAAAGTCATCCTTCTCTCTCTCTGCGGGTATCAGTACTCTGTTTGACAAATGTGTGCGAGTTACCAGGAGAAGGAAAAGGGACAGCAAAAGAAGACAGAACCATCCTGTGCTATTCTGCAATGAAAACTGGTATGTCTAACTTCAATTAAAAAACAATAATTACAGTAAAAGCCTCCATTAATTTTAAAATCCTCCTTCATGTGAGGAACTGCAAGTCAACATAGCTTGCTTTCTTTAATGGAAAGATGTTTAGAAGTATATTACACTTAAAAGAATATCTAAATGTTAAAATAGAACATTTGTGTTTAGCCATGTTATGGTGTTTCATATGGTCATTTGTCACCATTTTGTAATTCATAATTTATCAAGAAAAATCTAATTTAAAAAAATCAACGCGCCTTTTAATCGGTGTTTTGGAGAACCAGCTCTTGTGTTCCCCAAAATTAGAAGGGCCAGAATTTTATCTCAGAAGAAAGTATAACTAAAAAGAAACAATTAAAAAAAAAAAAGAACAACAAAAGACCATATATCGCTTACCATTTTTTTGACTTCAGCCGGGGAGGAGGGTTTCTGGGAATGAGAAACAGTGCTCTCATGGGATGCATGTCACAGAGAGCTGGGGAGAGGAGACGGTTGTGTCAGTATGGCACTCATTTTACTCTTCCTTGATTTCTAGGGCTCACTCATAAATAACATGAAATGCTCTGGTCCATCGTCTGACTGATACGCTTCATACCAAGCAGTCTAGACATCTAGTTATGAACTCCAGGGCATACCTTGAATGTCCCATTTAAAAAAAGCAAAGTGGGAGGACAAGAGCAATGAGATGAATATACATTTTCAAAGAGACATTGGAAAGTTTTCATAAATCAAAGTCTTAAAGGAGCTAACACTTAAGTTGTCAAACTATCTTTAAGATTCCAATGAAAATGATTGTATTTTCATAGAGTTACTGTTGAGATTAAATCAAACATATTGTCTTTCAAAGGCTTTCACACAATGCCTGGGAACAGAATGAACACAGTTAGGCCCTCCAGAAATGCTAACTGCTCATTGTTATAGCTAAAAATACTAGAAGGAACAAAAATTGAGCATAAAATGGGATTGTTTAATTCTGTGCAATTGCGGTTTATACTCTTATCACTCACCCAGTAAAGGTATATTAGGCACACATGGTAGGCATTACTATGTCATCATATGCAATGTGCATTTTCATGTGTTTATTTACCTTCAAAAGACTCTTACAAGGCACCTGGGCAATGAGGAGAGGCAGACAATGCTATTCTCCTTGTGAACAAAAATGAGACTAAGGATGAGGTGGTACTTCCCTGCCTCACTTCCTTAGAAAGAAGCACAAGGGAATGTATGGTGTTTAAGGCAGATCTCTATTTCTGTATTAAAAACTAATTTTTAACTGTCAACAATTATTTTCATTCATTCAACAAATATTTATTCAGCAGCAACTATGTCCCGTGACACAGTTAAACATTCTTTGTGTATACCTTTTTAAATGGGGACCGGCAGAAAATGCTTTGGTTTTTTCCCTTTGTTCTCTGTAAATCTATCTCATCTGTGATCAGAAATGATTTATATCAAGTTCTCATTAATTGAATTCAATGGAGAAGCAAACACAAAATTTCAGTTAACACACACAAAAAAATTATACCATAAATAAAGTTATGCCTCCATTAGTTAAGTCAAAACTTAAGTAATACTAAAATTTCATGTGTTAGGACTAGTTTCACTGAATTATCCAATTTAAAATGTAAAAAGAAAACTTACTACTTACTATCTGATCTCGGCACTACTTCAGGTCACATATGTGAATACAACTTAAATAAAAGAAAAGGTAGCCTATTGGACTCCTAGAGATCTCCAAAAGGAATAGTAATAGTGGTTGCCAAGAATTTCTTTTACATCTAAAACTTAACTATATTTATGATGCCTTCATCTAAACAGTCTACCAGAAATGTCTTTATCCATGGAGCTGAGCTGTTCTTTTTGAAGTCTTGGGAGGGGGTTAAGTTACAAGTAACAAGTGAGCTAAAAAGAAAAGAAAATTACTTACGTGGAGCACCTTCTGCCATTTCAATGGCTGTAATGCCACAAGACCAAAGATCACTCTGCAAAAATAAAACAGTATGTATGGATACTAGAGTAGCTACAAAGCCACTAACTTACATTTCTGGCTATTTACACAACTTTGCTATATAAACCAAAACGAAGTTTGCCAGAAAATTAAAAGCACAAACACATTTGTAGAACACCGGATGGATGGATGGATGGATGGATGGATGGATGGATGGATGGATGGACGGACGGATGGACGGATGAACAGATGGATGGAAAGAGAAAATTGATTTGTTAATTAAAACCATTCACATCTATAAATGAACTAGAGCTGGTCCACTTAAAAGCCTGTGTCTAAATATTCAGTGAATGGTCTACTGTTCAGTATGTTTCTTCATTTCTTCATAAGCATTTAATATTTTAGACCTCTGGCCCAGATTTATGTTTAATGTTGGTAACTCAAACTTAACTAAGATTTTAAAGTTTAAAGGCCAGAAAGCATTTTTTAAAAAATGTTCACCATTGAATTCATAAAACCTAAAGTGGTTCACTAATTCAAATCATGCCACTAAGCATCCCCATCCCACCTGCAAACCAAACAAGTCAACTGGTTTTCTGCACAAGGAATTTTTTTCTGATTCACCTGAAATACTGAAATTTAAAATTTGAATTACACTTCACTTTCTGCGCAAAAATAAGTTCCATGAAGGCAGGCGTTTTTGCCAGTTTTATTTACTTTTGTATTGGCAGGTACTGACTAAACACTGCCTGACGTAAAAGTCTTAGCAGATGATATTTCTTAAAATCCAAAAGAAGATTTTTGAAAAGTAGATGAGGATACTTACTGTCATTACTATATATTTGTTTATATGCTATCCTAACCAATGAATTAAATTTGCTCAGTTTAAGAGTTTTTCTAAATAATCTATATTTACATTACAAAGTTCAGACACATATGTCTGAATACAACAAAAAGGAGAGACCTATCATTCCTCCCCTAAACTTTCTATACTATTGGGGTACACAAAGGGGCTCATTACCCTACCCCAGTGGTCACTCCTAGCAACATGAATGGGGGATGAGCAGTTCTGCATGACCCTGCTTTGAGGCAAAACAAAGCACCTCCACCTTCACCTCCCCAGTGGTGATCTTGCTTGACTCAAATTAAGCCTTTCCAGTTTACAGGAAACAAACTCAATGGCATAAAGAAGTAACGAGACAAATCTAGAGGGTAGAACATTAGACAACAGGCTCATCTAATTAAGGCATGGATTTTTAAAAATAGTTTTTATAAAAATAGTAATCTGAGTCTGATAACAAATATAGATTTACATCTCAATTTTTTTTAAAGTGCATTATTGATTCAAGTCCCTAGAGGTCACTCTAATAATTTAAATAAATTTGTGTACCAAATCAAAGCTGTAAAGCTGTTTAAAAATATATATATATATATATAATTTCACTCAAATGAAACTATTACTATAATTGGCAATATTTTAAAAAGAATATTTGATTCTAATATATACTTCAAGTTAAAAAGGATAAGCAAATAAAAGCAAAACGTTCTAGCCACGACAGAGTACTCCAGACTACTTTGAAACCAGTGTATTCCTTAGTGAGAACACAGTCACGTGATGCAAATGGACAAAAAAGATGGCATCTGAATACTGTCCTAGAAAATTTGCACCTGAAATTTTCCTCACTGACAATCTTCCTCCCTGAAAAAGCAGGCAGACAAGGGGTGTGTAATTTGTAAGTAAAGCCCCCATCCCTCAGGCATGCCAGTGGCCCTGCAAAGGCCTATGGAGCAAGTGCCTCTTACTCTGTAATCATAGGTGGCATCTGGGTTCTCGTCACAGGCGATCACCTCCGGAGCCATCCAGTAGGGAGTGCCTATGAATGTATTTCTCCGCCCCACCGTCCTGTCCAGCTGAGCACTCACACCAAAGTCGACTGTGGGAGGAAGAGAAAGGAAGATAAAGTGAAACACAATTACAAACCAGACATACTTGGGGAAAAACTCAAGGAGGATAAACGTCTTCATAGTAAACTGAAACAGCAGTGCTTCATCAATATGCAGTCCTCTTCAAGGCAGGCAACACTGGTCAGGAGTGCCCTTCCACAGTAAAGCAACCAAAACTGTGAGATCCTCTACCAAGTAGTCCAGAAGCTCCTGGGAGGCCTGGATCTGGCTGCCTTCCCAGCTTCTCCAACAGTGACCAGCAGAGGGCCTTGTAAATGAACCACAACCTTGAGTGCTTTCAGAGAACTGCCACAAACAAGATCAAGTCACAGAGAGCCCCAGGTTCAGGAAAACTGATTGAGATGCACTTGACTTACCTTATTAAGCAGTATACTTCTTATAGGTATATAAGAAATACACTTTCTTATATTTAATAACCATAAATAGAAAACCACAAATGTTTTCTTGAAAAGAACACAGTACTGAATCAAATAAAGAAAATCAAGCTAAACCACATGTTCAAAAACACCCCCCAAAGCACTTGGGACTTCTGCTGATTTTTCAGTGACTTCTGCATCCCACCCAATTGGGTGGTGGTGGTGGTGGTGGTGGTGGTGGTGGTGGTCTAGAGGAAAGTTCAAAGATGGGAGGCAGAGTTGGCAGGAAGACCATGACCTCTAACAGAATGCCTGCCATCAGTCACTGCTGACACTATCACTACACACCCGGCCATTACCACCCCAGCAGGAACCTGCAAAGGTGGAGGAGCCCATGCTGAGATGAGTTACAGGAATCATAGATTCAACTTCTATGCACAGAACACGCTCAGAAAATGGCTTGTCCAGGGTGTGGACTCACTCACTGAGTGCTCCTCCAGAGACAGAGAAACACACAGGCCAGTCAGTGCAGGAACCAGAGACACACGGGCCAGCCAGTCAGTGCAAGAAGCCTAAGCAATCACAGAAACTTGGAAGGCAATGGTAACCAATCACTAAGTGATCCTCAGGGACTATCACAGGCTGGTACCTGGAGACCAGTGCAGGGTTTGGTAGGAGAACTGCTCAAGTGCTTCCTATCTTAGCCTTGAGGGGAGTTTCCAATTGGGCAGACTACTCCTCTACAGAAGACCAACAAACACAGACTATGTAAGAAATTAACTATGAAGGTCTTACTTTTACAGTACAACAGCTGTGCCTATGATTTCTAAAAGAAAGGTAGAGTAGACCCATATAAACATAAAGAATTTTGTTGTTATGTGTTAGTGGAAGAAAAGTTAATACAAACTGTTTAAAAATTTGATACAACACTTAGATGAAAGTGATTCGAATGAGTTCAGACCCAGCTAAGGGAAACAAGAAATATAAAAGAATCCTTGTAAATAACTCTAGGAAAGCACCATGGGCTGTAATTATCTATCCAAGCAGAAATTTATCAAGCACCTACTACAATAAAGTCATTATATGCTAGGTGCTGGGTAATATACTAGTTGCTGCATTCCCAGAACTCACATTCTGACAAAGCAGACAGTAACAGAAGTAAACAAACAATCACATAACTATAAATTGTGAATAATACTACAAAACAAACAAGTACCAGGGTCCAAGACAGATCGGAGGTTGGAAAGGCCCCTGAACATGAGAAAAAAAAACTGACTTCAAAATTGAAGTCAAGTCTCAAGAAGTTTAAAAAAAAGAAAATAAGACAGCAATGGATAAAGAGAGAAATAAAGAGGGACATAAAATGAGGAGGGGAAAGTAGCACGGGTCAGATCTTACATGGCTTTTTATGGGCCAGGGTGAGAAATGCAGGTTTTATCCAAAGTAAAGTAGGACTCCATTAAGGGTCTACAAGTAGGAAAGTGGCATGGTCTGATCTGAAGATCAGCCTGGCTGCTGTATAGAGAAGGGGGAGATGGGCGGAGGCGTGAACAAACATACAAACATGGAAGTGGGAAGGCTGGAGCCAGGGTAAGCAATATGCTCGGTTCCCACATTCTTAAGAACAGAAATAGAAAACATGGGTAACAGACTGAACTTTTAGCTAGATGGAAGCAGAGTTGGGAGTGCAACTGGCTTGTGCCAGGTGCAAGTATGAGATCACGCCGCACATCCATTACATACCAAGTTTCACCTCTGCATTCTCGGTCAGTAACACATTCTGGCCCTTGATATCCCGGTGAATCACGTGATGAATGTGAAGATGTGCCAGTCCCTGAATAGAAAAGACAGGCCCAAACTTTAGTTTTCTGTTACTATAAATAAACAGCCAGGAACACACCTTTTATAAGAAAGTACACAAGCGGATCAAAGGTTTTTGTGAGCTAACATTAACTTCACTCTTAGCTATTCCCAGGAAGATAGCACCAATACTACCACACACACAGAAAGAAGTCCTCCTCACCCTCCACACTCCCAGCAGGTTAAGTTCCCTGTGTGAGCAACATGACCACTTGTAGCTGTGCCTTTAAGATACACTGCAGATTACCATCTGCAGTTTCTCTGCTATAATTTGTGCTATTTGTGTACAGGGTGGTTCCTTTCCCATGCTAAATGTCTAGATGGTGACCCCATGGGCATATTTGAACTAAACACATCACAGGGGAAAAGCAAAGGGCAAGAGAGGGCTTTAAAATCTGGCTCTTTTAACAATGGCTAGCTTTCCCACTGCACAGTGACAAACTGCTAAGTGCTGATCAATCCCACCTTCACCCCAAGCATAAAAGGAATATGCTGTCAGAAGAGCCTTGTGTTCAAATAAAGTATCTTTCTTTCCCAATGAAACAAACCTACTGGGCATATAACACTTTTGATGACCTTGTATCTGCAATGAGGCCCAAAAACTTGTCTCTTATGAGAGGTAGTGGAAGAACAAAAACACATGTTGCATCCAAATATGGTCCATGAGACAGCAATGCATCATTCTCACAACTCATTACTTATTCTGTCCTCAGCTAGAGAAGCCAAAGATACAGCTTGCCTCCTTAAGATACAAGCAACCTATTTACTCTAAAATGTCTCAATCCAAAAAGGGCAGATTACAAGTAAGGGTTATTTGGTTTTTCCTGTTTGCTTCTTTTTTTTATGGGGTTTATTATTATCATTACTTTGTAAGATATGAATTAAATACAACAGCTCCTCTAGAATACTAATTTTTCTAACAGGGGGTTTCTAAACATTCATTTACTGGTCTGTCTATGAAACAGAGTAGAGCTTATTTGACAGCTCTGTTTATTTTTCACAACACAGGATGTGCGGTATTATACCACAAAGCACTGACTAGAGAAAAATGCACTAAAAATATATGGTACCTTACTGCTATAGTTAGGAACAAAGTCCCTCCTCTCAGCATGGTATAACTTCAAACAGCAAAAGGAGAGACACAAAAGCTAGCTTCCCTAATTTTTTGTAATTACTTTTTCTGTTACTTCACTTCATTTTTGTTCGCTAACCTGCAAAACTTCCTTCTTAAATTTTTACAAGATTATCTTAACAACAAACATAAGCACCCACATCTTCTCAAACAAATATGGCTCTCATGCACTCTTGTTCTTTACTAGCAAATGTATGGAACAATGCCTGCTTTCCTGTCTATACTGCTATAGGATCACTGCTTCTACAGGGAATTAGGTGGGTCTAACAGCTCTGCAACAATGTTAACTTGACTTATGATTATTCTGAACAGTAAGTACATTTTTCTTCCATGAAGTACCTGGGAGCGTATGTGTGTTCAACTAGTTCCATACCAGAAATGAGGCCACAATTATCCTTCCTTAGCAGAAATGCCAAGTCCAAATATTCAGCGAGGAACCTATCTCTCCTCAAACAAATCCATCAGTGTTTCTAAACTAGGAAACATTTTCCCCTTAATTCTTTATCAGTCATTGTCACAGAATAAAAGAGCAGTCAAAGGCTGTCATACAGTATTGGTTATAGAAAGCTGTAAGTTCCCATACTCAATATGAAGTATTGATTTCAGCCAAAATGAGAAAGTGCCATGTGGAACATGAACATGGAAGTGGGCTGAAAAGAACACGCTGGTCTTGCTGTGAAGCCTTGTGGTTCAGAGGGTTACAGTGTTCTGGCCCCAAAAAGCACTTCCCTAACGGCTGAGGCCTACCTGCTTAGGACCCTCACCATTCAAAGGGTCTGATCATAATAATCATAATGTCTAAATCCAACATCTAGTGAGAAATGAGGAAAGATTTTGCCACCACAGAAATTGTCTAATCCCAACCATCTTGAGAACATGTTATCTGTCTGGGGGTGGCTGCATTCCTTTCTCATGTGACCTCACCTCCAGCTTATCATCTTGTGTTCTCTTTACCAAAGCCAACTCTTAGTAACCCCTATAATGAACACACACTACTGTATGACACATGAACTGTCCCTGAGGCATTCGTTTGTTTTAATTTAAACCTTTGTCACAAGGAAAAACTCCCATTCTAGATGAAATGTAGGCGAAGGAAACTCAGTTTCAGATTCCCAGTGAGGCGAAAAAGATTTGCTATGTCTCAAAAATATGTCCATTCGTGTACCACACTCAAGTTGGCTTAGAGGCGTTAAACAAGTTGGGCTTCTTTTAAATGTTACTGGAGATCAATGATGGTAAAATGGCTAAATGCACATATTATACGTGATAGGTAAACAATGCTTGCCCAGGTACAGAAACACATTAAGTTGGCTTTGATGTCTTTGAAGTCTGAAATACATTTGATGTCTACAAAGTTATGCTAAAAGCTAGTTCTCTGTTTGAGAGATCCCATAATAGAATTATATACAAGAAAGGTAGAGGTGGGGGTACGTGGGTGGGCATGTGTATGGCGGGGGAGTGGGTGTTTAAAACAAAAGAATAATGACATCAGTTAACATTTGCTGATAGGTAGTTATGTATCCACATGCTACATTAAACAATTAATATATACTAACTCATTTAATTCTCCTAACAAAAGTAATTTCAAAGGGTTGGTATCTAAAATGTATAGATGAGGAGAAAATAAGTCCTGAAGGTTGAATAACACAGAGTGTGCTATAGGTAAGTAGCAGAGGCAAGACTCTAACACAGGTCTGACTTATGGTAGTTTCCAACCACTCAACCAGTGTTCTATCCTGCCTACCATGCTGAAGAGTTTTAGTTATTAATAAATACATCTGGCACAGTATCTGACTTCCTTTACAGTCGTATAAGGCAGGAAGCTTAGTTTCCACATTTAGGCTCTGCTTTCTATAATAGTCATAAAAGACCCTGATATTTTAATGACATTTGCAAGTGTTTATAAAAAGCTGGTTCTCCTATCACCTTACCCCACCCCCTACAACTAGTCTTACTAGGGGAATTGCATATTTTCCAAGACTACATAAATATCCAAATAAACTTTTTAAAAAATAACGTTTCTCTAGGAAGTCTAGGCATCAATTTTTAAACCTGCAATCCTCTATGAATCTCAAATATAAAAAGTGGGATAACTTTACTTATTAAAAAAATAAAATTAGTTACTTATGAGACTTTTTTATTAGTGGGGGAAGCATAAGAATTGGGTTTCAATTTAACTTCATAATCTTCATTTTAAAAATGTGTTAGATAAATGAAATGCAACCAAGTCATGTCCGTGTGTAATTCAGGGATGGAGTAGAGAGAAAAACTGTGATAGCCAAATGAAGGAACAGATTCACTGGTAATATAACTACATGCAACGCTCAAATATGAAATGCTAAAGACCCTCTGCCTATGCTGTCAACATGGCTTTACTACTCAAAAGAACTATTTAAAAGCTGCTAAAACAGCAGTTCAGAAACTTACTCTAAGTTCGTTAGCCAGCTTTCCAAATGGCTGTAAATAACATGAAGCATCCAAACTTTACTTCATAAATATTGTAATAGATTCTAGTAGCTAACGCTAAAGTCTTCAAGATGATTTTGAAAACCAGCATTCAGCACCATTAGTATTGATTTATAAGCATATATACAGGATTCCTTTAAAAATAATAGTTGGAGATTATTTCCCTTCCCCTCCACTCTAATTTGCTTTTAACTCAAAGGAAAGCTGCCAGTAGGTATGTTGTGATGCCCTGGAAAGTAAATTCAGGTAAATACAAAAACACTATTTTTCTTAAGTCCACCTTATTTACATACTTGCCACCAGAGTCAAATCATGATGTAGCTTAAATTACCAAAGCTAGCTAGATATGCAGAACCCTTGACTGTCAAAGAGAATAACCTATACAGGTGTAACTAATGCAAAGAAGTACTTGTGGCTGGGAAAAATAAAATGGAAGCAAAAGACAATGAGTTAGAGCACTGTAGCCACCCACTTTTCTTACCCTCAGGATTTCTCTGGAGATGTAGGCAATCCAGTCTTCTTTGAGTGTGTTCCCTTTGGTGTTCTTCACAAGGTCTGTAATGGACCCAGCCCCACAGAACTCCATAACAAGCTATAGGGCAGACAAGACAAAAGGTGAGTAACACATCTTAGAGAAATTGGGAAAACCAGATTAACCACCATGCCCTCTCTTTTCTAAAGACCTGGAAATGTGATGCTCCTAAGTAATTGATAATTTGGAGGCACCTAAATAACTGAAAGCTAATTTCATGGTCCAGTGTATTCACTCTGTATATTTGGCCCAGGAGACTGAGAGTGTCTGGTATTCCATGGCACACCCAAGTGCAGCGATTCTGAAGTGCTCATGGGCACAAGAGGACTGTTTTGCTCTTCCATCACTGCCCAATTATCAAATATCCCCTAACATTCTTTTCATTTTGCCTCAAAAACATTCTATTTTTCACCTTTGATCCTCAAACTATAATATTTTATATTAACTGGGTTTAATATGAATTAAAAATGCTATTTTAAGCACTTATACAACTGTATTTGAGAAGGGAGTCTCGCTCTGTCGCCCAGGTTGGAGTGCAGTTGTGCAATCTCACCTCACTGTAACCTCCGCCTCCTGGGTTCAAATGATCCTCTGGAGTAGCAGGGACTACAGGCGTGTGCCACCACACCCAGCTAACTGTTTGTCTTTTTAGTGGAGACGGGGTTTCACCATGTTAAACAGAATGGTCTTGATGTCCTGACCCTATGATCCACCGCCTCAAACTCCCAAAGTGCTGGGATCAGAGGTGTGAGCCCACCACCCATGGCCTACAATTTTTTTTAAATGCAATATTTATGGTATCTAAATGTTTGAACAATATGATCACAATGATATGTTTAAAGTACCTAGAAAATGAACTGAATTGAACTATTCTAAAATTTTAACCATGATCTGATTTGGGCAATGATAACAGGGGTAAATCTTTTCCCTTCGACTTAATTTTATAATGGTCTTTTAAAAAATATTGATAGAAAAAGTATTAATCTATCTTCCTGCTTTGTAAGTTCAATACCTCGAGCATAAAATAATGTGGTTGCCACAGATTGGTTGGTCATCTCAAGGTCATTATCTTGAATATAAATGTGTTCAAAAAGAGATAAGGTTGAAAACATCAGTTCCAGAAATTTCCCTGGAATTGTTTTAATTAACTATTATCATTAATATTATTAATAAGTTACTGACAGAAGTTTGTTTCTTGAGATCTATCTCTTATTTCCAAGTGGGAAGCTCAATTGACTCAGCTTTCAAATTAATTTGGTTCCCATAAAAAAAGTTTTTATTTTATTGCTTTCAAGCTCCTGATTTCCTTGCTATTTGGGCACATTCATTCTAGACACTGCCATTTTACTTCTGAAACACAAAGTTACCTTTTTTCTATGCAATGTGCAATCAACATCAAAATAAACAACCAGTATATAGTCAACCCATAGATACAGGTCAAGGAAGCCTTTAGACCCTGCCAGCTACTTACTGTCCCTCTTCATTGTTTTTCTTCCCTCTCAGCCCCCACCCCAGCCATGCCCTTACAATACAAGCAAAATGGAATGCCCACAAATGCTCAGGAAACATCCACCTACCCAGAGTTGGTCATCATGTCCTGGAGGGCTCTTTTTGATGAAAGCACCATAGTATGTTGCAATATTTCTGTGATGAGAATATTTCTTCAGCATATTTATCTCCAGTTTGATTTCTTCCTCTTCATCCTTAAGAAACAATAAAAATAAAGTGTGTGGCTACTGAATAATGTGCATGACTTCCCCACACGAGATACAATAATGAAAGGAACAAAAGTTCCCCATCCTCCAGGGGCAGGAGCACATATACATTTACTTTATCCTTGTTCCAAGAAGAGGGACCTTAGAGAATTCATCCTTTTAAGTGTGATTACAGGATGTGATGCATAGAAGGTAAAGACAAACACGGAGAGTCTCAGGGACAGTGCGAGGGTACTGCCTGGCCAGCTCTCCCACTAACTGTGACCTCAGCCAATGCACTCCACTTCTCTGAGCCTCAGTTTGTTCAGCTATAAAAATGGGACCAAAAACGGGAAATGACTGATACTATCTGAACTTACCATTTGGAAAGCCTGTCTGCTTTGCAAACACAGATCATTTGGTCCCTGTAAGTCCAGGAAACATTTACCTCTAACAACCGTGCATGACAGCACCCTATAGTGAAGCCAAGGCAGAGTACTGAATACATAAATGCAGGCTAGTGGTATAGTCCATGACCATGGGGCTCAGTGAGAATCCACTAACCCGAAAAGAGGTTCAGCTGAGTCCAGTGGGCCCCAGTAACAAAACATCACTGAGCAAGTTGTCTCACACTTGATTCCTAGACTCTTGGTTTACTGAAATAAGATGAGCAGAGGAAGAAACCCAGAGTTTGTGTGAGAATATTAGGGTGGGGAATGAAGGAAACAGATAGTGACACAGGTCTGGAAAATAAAATGTTGCCCTTGTGAATGACAAAGACTGAGAAGTCTTGTGATCTCCACCTCTCTCTCATATGTACACCTGGGGAAGAAGCTGTGCACACCAGCCAGGTAGGCATTCTGTTCCTTGTTACATACACATGATATACTACCTGCAAATGGTTAAGAAAGATTTGTAGTTAGTACAGAATGAGGGGAAAGCAGAGTTAAAGTGAGAAAGAAGAAAAACTGTGCAGGAAAGGGAAAATCAGCCTTGATTAGAAAAGCATAGTGTAAGATCAAGAGAAATCTGATGACCTAATCTCTAGAATTGCCTATACCATGTACATTTTCAAAAGGAAAAGATAACTAGTCTCCTAAAATGTCCTTACCTTTCTACACTGACACAACCATCCCATTCATAACTGATGTCCTTCTCTCTCCAGGGAGTAGTAGTGGCTCTGAGTAGCCTAGATGTGTGTGCATGCACACATGCATGTGTAATGCATGCATGCTCACACACACAACTTGGAAGAAACCTACTTACTGCTTCCATCTAACACCTCTAGAACTACTCTTAAGACCTTACAAGCCTAAAGGAAGTCTGATTTGCAAATATTATACTTTAAGATAAAAGCTGTAACATCATTAATTAGCTATTAATGAGACCAAACGGAAAAGAACAATTTTTAAAATACGAACTTCAGTTGTACATTACTGCTTTAGAAAACAAATGTATAACAAGACACGTAGTCATCTTAGAACAGTAATTCTCAAGACGGTTGCTTTACAGCTTGGTTCCAAAATACAAACGTTACAATATTATAATATAGCCATGCACTACATAATGTTTTAGTCAACAAAAGACTGCAAATACAAAAACAGTGAACCTGTAAAATTACAAATGAAGCTGAAAAATTCTCATCACCTAGTGACACTGTAGTGTTGCTGGTGTAAACAAACCTGCCGCACAGCCAGTCGTATGAAAGTATTGCACATAGTTATGTACAGTACATAATACTTGGTAATAAATGGCTAGTTTGTTTACTAGACTATACTTTTATTGTTATATTAAAGTGTACTCCTATTTATTTTTTTAAGTCAACTTACAATAGCCTCAGGCAGATCCTTCAGGAGGTATCCCTAAGAAGGTATTATTATTATAAGAGATGACAGCTCTATGTGTTGCTACTGCCCTTGAAGATATTCTACTGGGACAAGATGTGGAGGTATCAATATCCCTGAAGACAGGGATATTGATAAGTCTAACCCTGTGTAGGCCTAGGTTAATTGCGTGTGTTTGTGTCTTAAGTTTTTACCACAATGTTTAAAAAAGTTTTAAAAAGACAGGAAAAAAGCTTATAAAGACATTAAAAAGAAAATATTTTAGTATAGCTATGCAATGTGTTTTTTAAGCTAAGTGATATTACAGAAGAATCTAAAGGTTTTATAAAGTAAAAGAGTTATAGTAACTACTATAGTAACCTATAATAAGGTTAACTTATTATTGAAGAAAGAAAATATGTTTTTACAAATTTAGTGTATCCTAAGTGTACAGTGTTTATGAAGACTACAGTACTGTATAGTAGTAATGTGCCAGGCCTTCACATTTACTCACTCATTCACTCACTGACTCACCCAGATCAGCTTCCAGCCCTATAAGCTCCATTAATGGTCAGAGCTCTATGTGGGAGTACCACATTTTATCTTTCATAACATATTTTGACAATCCATTTTCTATGTTTAGATACACAACTCCTTGCCATTATGTTACAACTGCCTACACTATTCAGTACAGTAGTATGTCGTACAAGTCTGCAGCCTAGGAGCAATTGGCCATACTAGGTAGCCCAGGTGTACCATCTAGGTTTACATAAACACACTTTCATGATGGACAACAGCAAAATTGCCTAAGGATGCATTTCTGAGAACATATCTCCACTGTTAAGCGATGCACAACTATATATTCTACAGGCACACCTGTCATGTGATTTTAATAGATGATGACTACAAATATGGCAGCAGAGTAACATGACCCAATACAGTTGATATAATTCTCATTCAAACCCCTGCATATAGAAAAAGTCCTACCAAATAGGTATGATTTCAATCTGAGATTTAAATATGACCATGTTGAAAGCAGCAATGAAAAATGAGATACTGAACAACAGATAACCATCTTAATTCTAAACAAAACCAGTGTTTAGCTAGTAAAACACAGAAACACTTCTATTTGAGAACTTGCTTCAAAGGAACTTTATTCTAAAACAGAAAAGGGGGTAACAATTTTTATTACATAAAACATGAGAAAGCACACTCCAAATAAAAGCAGGAAACCTAATGCCTCAAGTTTTATCTTGTGCTCTGTGCACATACGTTATCAACACACATAGTAGGACAAGCAACAGTGACCAGGGCTTGCTGGCATGGGGCACAGAGAGCCTGCTCCCTCCTGACTCACCACAACTCACTATCAGTGGTATCTGGGGGTTTCTGAGACGACTCTTGACCAAGCAGTGAGTGGCCTGAGACAGCCCTAGTGAGGCTTGTCAAGTCAGGTAGGCTCCAAAAAGGGGTTGGCACATGGAAATGGCCATAAACAGGCCCCGTTGAAAAGGCATGTGGTGCTACTCCCAGGATAAGGCCCATGGTTAAACATGTGCCCTAAAAAGCCAAACATCCCATTTTCCTGACACTGAACTGCAGCTGGGTGACCAGAAAGTGAAGTAATAGTTTTTCTTCTTTTATCCAAGAATCAGTAAATCTGTAAGGATTTGGGGTATAAAAACTACCCAAATAAAAAACAACAATGTTGAACTAGAATAGGGGAAAATCAAAATATTGATTTTAATTTTGTTCCTATAATAAAAGCTTCATACAGTAGTGAATTTTACTGGACTGTCCAGACTTGTTTTATCGATCCATCCCTTACCTTGCCTACCTCCACTCCCTGCAGTGGCTAAACACTTCCCAGGGTCACTGTTCCCTAACACACTCTGCCAGTAGCTTTCACTTCTTAACAGAAAGCAAATGCCACCTATGATTCTCCCATGACAGGCTTCCTGCGTAATAATTAAGAATTACAAAATATTTAGACTAGGTTCCATTAATTTTTTTTCTTTTAGTGACACAAACCAATGTCTTCTAGGATCTAACCTGTTTACCACTCTATCAGAAAGAGTCAAGAGCACTTGATACTTTCACAGCTCACTGAGTTAAAAAGCAAGCACACATTTTAAAGTTCTTATAGGCTTAAATACAATATTGTCCACTGGTATGAAAACCTCTGAAGAGGCACATTGGTAAATACTGTTTGCAGACTACCTTGGCACAATGTGTTTAACAAAATCTAAAGTGCCCCCGAATGGAGCCCACTACGATTTTATGTCATGAAATCATGCAGCACCGTCAACCATAAAGTATACACACTATACCATCTTCAAAACTGGGTTACATCTTAGAGTCAATTATTTAGAAGAACGACTAAAATATAATCAAGTCTGGCAATAGCTTTTCTAATATGACGAAGATACCATTCGGAAATACAGTGATCACATCAACATGAGCTACCTGAATATCTCCCAGGTCCTGGAAGCATACACATATCAACTGTGAAATGTATCATAGGGAAATTATATTCTCCCCTCAAATTACTGTTTTAGAATAAAATTTATATGTACTTTGGACATTCCTCACTTGATTTTATGATTTTAAAACAGATGACCATTAAACATCTTATGAAACAAAAAGGCAGTTAGAACTACTAATTGTCATTTACTGTCTAATTATAGGTGCCCACTTGGAGAAAAAAACACTAGAAATAGAGAATCTGCCAATGGCTTTGAGCCAACTACAACTGAAAATCTAATTATAACTAATTAGATATAACTATTAGGAGATAGATAGATAGATATAAAATTAGGTATAACTATACCGTATTTTATGTTGTCTTTAGAGGAGGGTAATAATGAATCAACTTCTGAATTTCAGTCTCCCTTTGGTTATTAGTGAAACACGTTTGGTGGTCGCATCCCAACACTTAAATACATACATACCACCACCACCACCACCAGCACCACTAAAAACAAACACCTCATGTGGCCTGAGAAGATACAGGAGAAAACAGACAAGGGGCCTCTTAAAAACAACAAATCCCATATATAAAAGGGAAGTTGAGCTGGCAAAACTACATAGAGGAGGTTTATATATTCCATGTGTCCAGGCAGAGTCCAAGCTACTGTGTCCTTCAGGCTCTTCCTTAGCAGGTCACAAGTATGAACAAATGAAAAA